TGGGGTGGTCTGCACAAAACTTCTTGACCATTGTTTTTAGTGTCCGGTTTCCCCTCTCCACTACCCCTGATGATTGGGGGTGAAAGGAAATATGAAGCTTTTGCTGGATAACATGACCTGTAATTCGATGAAGATCTGCTTCGTGAAATGAGACCTCTGGTTGCTGTCCACTTGCACCGATATTCCCCACCTGCAGACCACTTCACGCAATAGCAGCCTAGCTGCCGCCAAAGCGGTGGGGAACGCCTCCATCCACTTGGTAAATTTGTCGATGATCACCAAGCAGAATTTGTAACCCCCTTTGATCTGTGGTAATGGCTCAATGAAGTCTGTAGGTGGGTCCATAGGCCTTCCGGAGGTGGCATTTCCCTGTGGGAGCACACATGAGCAATGGCTTAGTCCCCGAGTCACTTGAGGTTTGCTCTACCAGTGTGTCCATAGTCCAATCAGTGGGAGGAGGGTCGGGTTTTCCCTCGTTGTGCCAGGCCATCACTTGCTGGTAGGGCTCTTGGGTTTGCTGCAGAGATCCCAAGTCGATGACCCGTCGCTCTGTTGTGCACTGTTAACCATTTCCACACAGTCCGATGCGGTACCGGTGGGGACCATATGGTGGCGTGGCACGCGACCTACTTGGCAGCTCGATCCACAGCCGAATTTCCGAGAACCTGTGGGCCAGACGACTTGGAATGTCCTTTCACTTTACCCAAGTGCAGAGTTGCCTGTCGATTGGATAGGAGTTGCCTTATGCTGCGCAACAGCTGATGGTGGGCTAGCGGTTTGTCATCCTTTGATTTAAAGTCATTAGCTACATACAGGGAAAGCAATGTGACCATGTTGACAACATATGCACTATCCCACCAGATGTTCGCAGACATTTCAGCGGTGTTTGTGACAGCCTCATGGAGAGCGGCAAGCTCGACATATTGGGCTGAGTGGCGTGTACATTTAAACAGGAGTTCCTTGTCCTCCTCTATCAGGACTGCAAACCCTGTGTAGTGTGCCGTTGTCGTGGAAGGATGAGCCATCAATATAAACATCCACTGCTCTTTCCACCGGCCGGGGACTTAGTGCTCTGTGTGTGAACCAAGTTCTGGGAAGGGGACACTTGTGAAATTCACCACTGTAGCTTAACATGTGAGGCAACAGCATAGTATGATGTGTGACTATATCAAGGTCTTGCTCCATTAACAACAAAGTCCAATAATTCAGTCGCTGTGAGGAAACGTGGGAGTCCCCTGGATTCAAAAGTAGGCTGAGAGGAGTATGTGGAGTATGGAGTACTAGATGCTGTAGACCAGTAATAAAGATGAAGTGCTTTACTGCACACTCAGTGTGTTGCGAGTAGGTGTTGTTTGCAGGAGTCAAGCCCCTATTCTACTCCAGTTAATATACCAGAGGCGAAAGCAATGGGGGTCAGGCGGCCATTCTACATTTGGTAGAGTACAGCTGAGAGACTCTCCTGGGATGCAGCCACCTCCAGGTGGAACGCAGAAATGGGATTGGGTGAAATGTAGCCTGAGAGGATACAGTGCTTCCACTGCCTTAGTATGTGTCTTAGTCCATTGCTGCAGCAAGGAGTCATTGTCCCCTTTAAAGAGTTCGTGCAAAGGTTTTGCCAGTTCAGTGAAAGATGATATAAAGGATCACTGGTACCCCACCAATCCCAAAAATGATCTCAGGGCAGTTTTGTAAATAGGTAAGGGCAATCGTTGTATGATCTCCACCTTGTGTTCATCTGGTGTTCGCCATGTCTCGGATACTTGGACGCCCAGGAAGGTGACAGTAGGTTGCATCAATTGAGCCTTTTTAGGATTGATTTTTAAACCTGCTGCTTGTAGCCGCTGGATTACGTCAGCCAAGATTTCCAAATGTTGCTGCTCATCTGCCGTGGTATATCATCCACGTACTGGAATATACATTCGGAGTGTATACACCCCTTCAGAATCGCCACCGTACGCTTGTGGAATATGGTGGGAGCATTGTGAAACCCCTGAGGAACACAAGTCCAGATGTATTGCTGGTTATCAAACATAAAAGCAAACTTGTACTGGTCTTCCTCTGTCACCTGGACACTCCAGAGCCCATTAGAAATATCTAGGGTCGAAAACACTCGGGCAGTCCGCGGCAGACTGGTTAATAACGTAGGAGAGTCACTAACTACAGGTGCGCAGGAAGGGGTAACCTTGTTAAGGTGACAATAATCAATCGTGAGATGCCAACTCCCGTCGGGTTTACAGACTAGCCATATTGGAGAATTTGCGGTAAACCTGCCTTTGCAAATGATTCCCTGATCCAACGGTGACTCGATCGCAACATCAACCCACGGGAGACTTTCCCAAGATATTGGGTAATGTTGGCACTGTCGGTGGGGAGGACTGTTCATCGTTTCAGGCGAATCCATTCTCCCACAATCATATTTGTGCTTGACCAAAATGTCTGAATGATCGCGGAAGAGTGAAGCAATGCATTCTTTAGGGAAGGTAATGGGGGTATTGCTCGAATTTCTTTATGGCATTAACAGCAAAACAGTCAGCGATCACGTAGTACAATCCATTATCCCATTTCCGAAGGGATCCCCAATCCATAAGTGTTGATTTGCAAAATTAATGGTTATGGAGTACATGAGGAGTACGGCGGATCCGAGGATACTCTTCTCTTTGGGCATATCCATCGCCTCGGGACCAACTACTGACAACATCCCTTCCTTAAACATGAAACATCTATAGCCTTACGTTGGTTACCATCGAAACCTGTGAGGCAGCATCTCAAATTAGTGGCACTCTAATATTTACGCGGATTTTTGGAGTGTAGGATAGGGATTTCAGACCCAGTATCGACCAACATTAATTGCGGTGGACCTCTGTTCACTACCGGTCACGCAAAGTGTCTGTTACTCGCAATTGGTTCGAATGGAATAGATTGCTTAAGGATAGGGAAGACCAAAACCCATCATTGTGGTAGCTAGTCTATAGTCCCAATTAACTTCCTTGCACTACGCTCCGATGATTGGGAAGCTCTCGCTGTTGAATCATAATATAATCATCCATAATTAATCATTATTTACAGTGGGGCGGGCAAGGCGGGTACATGAAGCAGGCTGAAACCCGCTGAACGGAGGGAGTGGGCAGGTTGGTAGGCGGTTAGGATGTCGCAGAAGTAGGGGGAAGCGAGGCCATGGAGGGCTTTGAAGGTAAGGATCAGCATCTTGAATTGTATCCTCTGTGTGATGGGAAGCCGGTGGAGTCGGGCAAGAATGGGACTCATAGGGTTGCCGTGCCTGGTGCGGGAGAGAACATGGGTGGCAGAATTCTGGATAATCTGCAGCCTATGGAGAGAGGAGTTGGGAAGGCCGACAAGCAGGGAATTTGTGTAGTTGAGCCTGGATATTATGAAAGCGTGTATGAGGGTCTTGGCAGCCTGTGATGTGAGACAATGGCGGAGCTGGGCGATGTTGCGGCGGCAGAGAGGAACATGGCACGGATGCGGGGTAGAAAGGATAGTTGAGGATTAAACAAGACGCCAAGCGAATGACCAATTTTATCCAGGGGACTGTTAACTAGAACAATGGGAGAAGTTATCTTCTCTTTTTCAAACAGAGCAATTGGATCTTTAATATCCACCTGAAAAGTTAACCTGGACGATGAGCTCAAAGTACTGATTTAATGCTTGAACCTACAACCTGTTGACTCAGAGACAGGAGGTCTATCAACTGAGCCCAGCTTATATCTGAAAGAAATCAGCTTCCCTGCTCAACACTGACTTGACAACAAAGTTTACTCCAGTGCTTCCTCACTTTCTGTGCTTTCGCCTCATTCACCTCTGTAGGACCACATTCTCCTCATTTCAATCCAACCAGACCCTCTTTATCTTCTTCAACAGGTTCTCCTCCTGCTGTCACAAAGTTACCTGTGAATTACCTCAGGGCTCTATCCTCCACCAACTCCTTTCCTTCAGTTACATCTCTTGTCATCTGCAGAAACAAGGTTAACTTCCACATATATACGGATGACATGACATTCAACTCTACCTCGCCGCCTTTACTCTTCATTCCAAGTCCATGCTTGTTCTGTCCGCTTGCTTGTCGGATATCAATGCCTTGATGTGCCTCAACTTCTTGCACCTTAACATGAGCAAGAGAGAAGCTATCCTCCTCAGCTCCTGCTATTGTCTCCCCATTTCCAGCTCTGACCTCCTCAACCTCCCAGGTCTGCCTCTACCGCTTTTATTTTCCAATTGTTTTCTGAGTGACTTACGAATACCCAGTGACTATACTGTACAGTTGTAGGAACATAGGGACAGGAGTAGGCCATTTAGCCCCTCGAGCCTGTACCGCTATTCTGTTAGGATCTGTATCTCAACTCCAATGACTCGCCTCTTCCCCATATCCCTTGATATTCTTACCTAACAAAAATCTATCGTCAATCTTGAAAATTTTAATGGATCCAGCATCCTTAGCCTTTTGGGGGAGAGAGTTCACAGTCATTACCTGCAAAGCACTGTGAAATGTCTCAAAGTTACTTGCATCAAATGCGAGAATTATTGTTCTTGCGGAGTTCGAGCTGGTCCAGAAAAGTACATCCACTATCAGATGCCTTGAGCTCTGAGGAGCACAGTGTGGATCCAGCGATCTCTTCATTAGCTCTTAGACTGGGTACAACTCTAACAGCATGACACTCTGCCTCTCTGATAATTGCAGAATATTTGCAGTTCCCACATTAAATACAGGTCAGTAGCACTGCAAGGGTCAGCGTGACTACCAGGCATCGAGTGATTGAATATCTCAATCAGAGGTTACCACCCTTTCACAGCAAGTTTTCAGGGTTATTGGCAGCAGAGATGTACAATGAGATTGCAGAAGGAATCAATAAATGCAAGATTAGGATCAGGTCCCAAAAATTATTAAACGCACAACAATAAGCTGCTGAGCAATTAACTTTATTGCTGGTGACTAACTGAATGCAGTAACTACAAGCAAATCAATGCCGCGAATCTCTTCGTGCAACTTTATGATTTATTTTGATAGGCACAAACGTACGGCAATTTTTCGTCACAGGGCAAGTCATTCCATTTTTTGGGTATATCTGTAAAATAATTAAAATGCAATCATCTGTCAGTAATAACCTATAACTTTCAACCTTCAGTGAATCAAAATATTCTGTGTATGTGGATTTCAGATTTGGGATAGAAAGGGAAAATAGCTACAGGCAGGGTGGTGTCCAGCCAATACCGAACCATCTCTCTGCTTTCTGGGTGTGAACTGAATCTCACTGTAGGTTCATCTCTTTCTAAAACATCTTACTTTGAGACCTCCAGCAATGTAAACCCTCCCCCCCACCTCCCCCACAACACACACCCACCTCCAGCACTGCATTGGAGTGTCAGCTTAATTTAAACTTGATTCTAAGTTGCGACATGAGTTTGAACCCACAATCTTCTGGCACTGAGCCAAGTTGTTCGATGCTCAGCAAGCGCTCACTTCCAATGCTAAATATTCATCTTTACATGTGGAAGTATTTTCCCCCAATACATTTCCTCACTGAAAGCATCACATTCCTTGTTGCCATTTCATCAGTGAGTGGGTAAACACTGCTATCATGCCTGTTATGGCAATAAATAACTGGAGCATTCACTGTTCTTAGAACCCTTTTTAGAAATACTTCAGATCATATATCTTACTCAGGCTGTACAGTGCACTGGTCAGACTGCATCTTGAGTACCGCACGCAGTAAATAATAATAATAATCCTTGCATTTGATACAGCGCTTTTCACATCTTCTAGATAATAATAATAATAATAATCCTTGCATTTGATATAGCGCTTTTCACGTCGGGAGGACGTGTCCCAAAGCGCTTCACAGAACACATTGTAAAGTGAATTGACTGTATATTTGTGGGCGAACGCGGCAGCCAATTGCGCACAGCAGTGTCCCACAAAGAGTTGTGGATTGAAGTGACCAATTTTATTATTATTTTTTNCTTGAGGGATTATTATCTGATGTGTGGAGAAAGGAAACTTGCCCAAAGTTTCACCCTACCAGGAATCAAACTCAGGTCTCTCGCTTGCAAGGCGAGTGTTCTAACCGCTGAGCTACAGGAACTCCTTAAGTTCTGGTCAGTACAGCAAAAGGTGGCTGCCCAGCCCCTTCAACAAAAATAACAATTACTTTTGTATAGCACCTTTCACATTGGGAGGACGGGGTACTGGGAATTGCAGAGAATAGCAGAGGAGAATAACATTCCCTGAACAGAATAGCCTTCAGGCAGTAGGAGAGAATAACAGAGGAGATCAATAAGGTTGATCCCCAGTGTCAGAGGAATGAGCCCCTATATTAGAGGAATGAGCTATGAGTGACAATTAGTCAAACTAGGAGCTCTTCACTCTTGAAAGAAGGTGACTCCAAGGGGACCTCATAGAGCTGTATAACATTTCAAATCAGATTGAAAACATAAACCCAGATCAATACTTGAGGCTGCACCAAGATAGTAGAACCGGAGGACATGGGTTTAGAGTTGTAAAAGGTGATTTCAGGACAAATACTAGGATGTTTTTCTTGACTCAGAGGATTATCAAAGTGTGGTTGAGACCTAGACATTGAGATTCATTAAAAAGCAGCTCACTGCTGCAATGGTGGGGCAGTAGGGCAGGTGTTCTGTAGGGATGAGATTGGATGGGCTGAAGAGCTTTCTTCATCCAAAGCAATCTTGTGATTTATCTGAGTCAATCTCAGGCCCCAGATCTGGAATTAAGATAAGAAAAGAGACTACAACGTACGGTGGTTCATATGCACGCAGTCCTCGTGCTCGTTGAAGTCATCAGGAACTTCGTTGTACCAGTTTATAAAATTAATCTTAGATCCATCACTCCATTTGAAGTTGCCCTCCTGTGTGAGAGTGAATAACAATGTCAGTACAGTAGAATACTAGTTATCTCCATGTCCATTCATCTACAATGGTATTCTAGTAACTAATTATTTATGCTGACATCACAGCCCATCATAACTTCTGTATCTGAGCACCATTCTTCTACAATGGTGCTCAGATACAGAAGTTATGATGGGCTGTGATGTTAGCATAAATAATTAGTTCTTTGCATTTTTATCTGCACGTTACAGTCCCACATGTTACTTATTGTGAAAATCTCTATCCATTGGAAAGATTATATTGTAAACATCTTAAAGAACTTTACAGAGAAATAAGGCAGGAAGATAGAGAGACACACAGACACAGATACGGTTAAAAAAAAAGCACAAAAATGATGCTTCAGTGCCTGCTAGATTGACCTGTTTGATTTCAATTGAAGTAAATGGTTTCAGAGATTGTGCAAATTTTCATACAGTTTGCACACTTTCCCTCATACTCTAGTACCATATAAACATGGCTGGGGGGTACAGATGTAAAGTACCAAACACTTCACTTGAGGATATGCGGGAGAATTGAAGGGCAAAATTTCAGGAATTACAAAAATGCTTTTGGGAGCAGAGGTGTATCATTTAGCATTTGTTCTACAGCATTTATGATTTCAAGGTAACACCATCTTCAGGATCACAAGAAGGGAGGCGGAGGATTGGATTAGGAGGTGCAGAAGTTGTCTGTTCTATAAAAAAGAATGTTTTTATAATATATTGTAATTTAGATACAGTTGTTCAGAAAATAGATTTGGCAATCCACCTATTAATGCCTTTAAATAAAAAATGAATTCTGGCAATATTCGAAAACTGCTTTCAAGTATGAAAAAATAAAATACATTTTCATGAATGGGTGGGTGTGTTGAAAGAATAAACACCCTCCACAGCAGACGCACTTTTCGGGTGTGTACATACTTTTGTTTTTATTTACTTTTTAATAGAAAATTATAATGACTGTGACAATTATAATGATCTGACACAATGCCTCTGCTTCTGAGCGATGTTTTCAGGAGGATAGCAGACTCTGCAGAGCACTCTCCGATCGTATGTTGGATTCCTCTCAGTGGTTGAGCCAGGTTTTGCAACCAGGGAGGATGGGGAATGGATGTGGTGGAATCAATGGGCTATTAGTGACATCGCCTTCTTATCTCTCTCACACTCACACTGCTCCATCTCGCACTTTTTCTGTGCTTCACACCAACCATGCCCCTCACCTCTGAGGTTCTCTGTACAACATTAAGTGTTCTTCCCCTTACCCCCCCTCACTGCTTTGCTCTTCCCTCCACTGCCTTGCTTTTCACTCCACTACCCTGCTGGGTCTCATTTCTGATTGTTTTGCTGTGCGTCCTTCTGCAGAGATTGGTGTTGGTTTGGATCTGCGGTGCTGGGAGGTGGAGGCATTGAGGGAGATGTGAGTTTAAGCATTTTGGGACGCTACCCCACATGAAGGCCGTGAAATGCAAGTCTCCTATGCTGTTCCAATGAGCCACGGCCATTGATTTCAACAATTCAGTTCATAACAGCTCCCTCCCCCCCTCTCTCTTCTGTGACCATTACCACATCATCTGGGTCCCGGACACACCTCTTTTCTCTCTGGTCTGCCTATTTTGTTGCAATTCCCCCCCAGCCCCCCCTTTATTTTGCATTATTAAGATCTCTTTAATCCCCTGTCTTCTACCCCATTTTCTCCTTTGTCTCCCTTGCCCTGCCTCCCCGTCTGATAGCCCTTAAAAGCCTCTCCCTCCAAACATGCCCCAGTTCTGACAAAGGGTCATGGACCTGAAACGTTGACTGCTTTCCTTTCTTCATAGATGCTGCCTGACCTGCTGAGAGTTCCTAGCGATTTCTGTTTTTGTTTCAGATTTCCAGCATCTGCAGTATTTTGCACTTTGTATATAAATTCAAGTTGTTGTTGTTGTTGTGCGGAGAGCACAATGATGTTCATCATGTTGTTGCTCCAATTTTGTTCAGTGGTTGATGTGCTGGAAGGGAGCTGTTCCCTCTGCTGGCCTCGCCTGTTGTTCTTGGCTCACCATTATAATGGTGGTGCTCCTGCTCTTCACTGCTGGTCATTATTCCCTCCTCATTCCCTGCTCCTCTGTGCTGCTGGAGGTGCTGGAAGCAGATCGCATGAGTCAGGTGGGAACTGTTGATTGCTCAGCAGCAGTTTCTAAAGAAAAGCAGGACGTTAGTGCAATTCCTGTTGAAGATACCATTAATTGTGCTGCAGTGCAAGCAAAAAAATGCACAATGCATTCGATAATGTTTCGTTTCTATTTTATGTGTATTATTGTTACTTGTACCAGGTTGAGACTTCTTCCCAAGGATTTCCACGCTCTCTTTTTGCTGATCGGTGTGAGTATTTCAGCCTTGCAAAGTTGCCTCTCCTCGATTCAGGAAGCTGTTGTTTTGCTGATCTTTTTTGCTCATCTTGCTCTCAAAGGAAGGATGATAATAATAATAATAATCCTTACATTTTATATAGTGCTCTTCTAGACGTCACAAATGATGTAGAGTGAATACAAATGTTCCTGGCATTCATGAATCATGATCTTCCTCTCATCCTGAATGCCCTCTCATACCACAGGTTTGGATTTAATTCCATTTAAGAAATCAGCTTTATTTAAAAAAAGTACTCCTATGTTTGTAGCTGCCCCACGTAAGCCCAGGTATACTTGACTTAACTATAAAATAAAGGACCACTGTACCTTGGTACTCCTTCTCAATTTTTGCCCTCCTCCCGCCCAGAACAGCTCTTGTCTACTCTAGACTGTCTCTGGCCTCCTGTTGGCCTCTCTTCCCCTTCACTCCACCACTGGTGGCTACACTTTCAGCCACTATGAACCGAAACTCTGGAACATTCTCCGTCAATCCCTCCATCTTGCCCCCTCCTTCCCCTTTTTTAGATCACAACTGACCTACCTCTTCGACCATGCTTACTGTCACCTCCTCCCTCACCCCAGCTCACCGTCGGGCTCCACCATTGTGAACCGCTCCAAGACAACGTCCTGCATGAAAGGGGCTATACAAATGCAAGTTGTTGTTGTATGGCAGACCACATTGAATCTTTCTTTCTGTACCTAACCTCTCTTTTGAAATGTGGTCTAACATAAGAAAAAGATGTGCCTGTAGCTCCACGATGCCAGTGGGAATGGTGACCGTCTCACTGAAGCAGCTTCATTTACGCCTGGACCTTCTCCTGCCACTGCTGACTCCTTTCTCTTCATTTTCTTTCATTTTGTTGACAAGCTCTAAGATGCTACCTCGTGTGAAGGGAGCTGTGTAAGTTGCTGTGGTTTTTCCCATGTTTTTCCATTGCAGATGACTGTTAACATATTCCTCAAGCTTTTCTGAGGCCAATAATCAATGATTTTATTGTCGTCATTGACAAAACCAGGTTGCGGGTGGCGCTGGAGGTTCATTCTGATCGGCTTTTCTTTTGAGGTTCAAGTACAACTCTTCTGAAGGCAATCATTCATGTGCCAGAGTTGATCGGCGTTAACGTTCCCACAAAACCAAAAAGTTCACTCTTATAAACTTCAAAACCCTTGAACTATTTTGGGGGTAAATCCTACAGTGACCCTACAGTGGACAAGAAAACCAAAGAGCCGTTCTGTGTGGATGAGAGAGCAAAAGAAAAAAGATAATACTGTGCTTTGTGGTGATGTATAAGTCACACTTAAATAATATTTTGGTTCACAATGTACTGTACAGGGGGTCCACAAAATCTCTTACCCCCTCTTACAGAACAGCGATATGAGACTATGGAGAAGCTGAAACAACAACAATAACAAAATTACATTTGTATAACGCCTTTCACATCAGGATGTCCAAAGGCACTGGACAGTCAGTGTTTCGGACTTGAGCTGGGGGTCGAGATCGGGGAGGGTGGAGAGTAGGGAGGGGAAGCAGGGAGATCGAAAGAAAGGTTGGAGGGGAGTGTCTTAAGATGGGTTTTGAAGGAGACAAGGGAGGGGTTGCGGTGGAGGGACTGCTGGATGGAGATCCAGAGGGTGGGGCAGAATGGCTGAAGGCCCAGGCGAAGTGGGGGATATGAAGCAAATTGGAGCCTGCTGAATGGAGGGAGCAGACAGATTTGTAGGGGGTTAGGAGGTTACAGAGGTAGGGGGGAGCTAAGCCATGGAGGGCTTTGAAGATGAGGACTACGATCTTTAACTGTGTCCTCTGTGTGATGGGAAACCAGTGGAGTCAGGCAAGGATGAGGGTGATAGGGTCACGGAGCCTGGTGCAGAAGAGAATGTGGGCTGCAGAGTTCCAGATGATCTGCAGCCTATGGAGGGGGAAGTTGGGGAGGCCGTCAAGCTTGGATGTTATAAATGCATGTATGAGGGTTTTGGCTGCCTGCAATGGAAGACAATGGTGGAGCCGGGTGATGTTGCGGAGGTGGGGTAAGGCAGAGCGGGTCATGGCACGGATGTGGGGTAGAAAGAATAGTTGAGGGTAAAACAAGATGCCAAAGTCCGGGACTGGCTTAGTAAGATGGAGTGTGCATCCTTCGATGGTGATGCTGTCAGTGCCTGAGGTGTGGAGACACCAACAGGAGGCAATCAGGAGGGCTTTGGTCTTGTTGACGTTCCAACAGTAGAAAGTTAGCTCTCAACCAAGACTTGATGTCTGACAGACAGTCTGAAGGACCACGGTGGTCCTGGAGTCAAGGATGGAGGCAGAGACATACTGTTGGGAGTCATTCACATACATGTGGAAGTTGACCCCAAGTCTGCAGATGATGTCACCAAGAGGGAGCATATAGATATTGAAGAAGAGGGAACCAAGGACAGAGCTCTGACCAAGCTGTCAAAGACGCATTTCGCTTTGTCATTCCATCCATGTTACGGAAGATGTCGCATCAGACATGGTGACAGATCAATATCTGCCATGAAAATTATTACACTCACACTGATGCTTTGAACGTTTAAATACAGTTAAGCGCTTGTTCTGAATACAATTAATACTTC